TTCTCTCTAAATTGTTTACTTTGTCAATTTGTTCCAAAAAGGGGGAGAATAAGGGATATTTAATTCAAGGGGAGTTTTTATAAATTGTTTTTATTAAACTTTCACTAGTAGTTTTGCTTAATCTATGTAAAGGAAATCAAGTAACATCTTATCCAAGAAAATAAGAGAACAGAAAACAAAAATTCCATGTTCCTACAACTTGTAATCTATTGTTTTTTTGTTTGGGTATATTATATTTGTTTTTAGGGTTTTGTCAAGAAATTGCTAAAGGGAAAGATTGTGAGATATAATTTTTGTAACTGGCTAATTTCGGTGTCAAAACAAGTCCGGTCGAGTTGTAATTTTCAAGTTACCAAATCAAGATCGAAATCTGTTACAGAATTGGAAAGTTATTCAAGTTTAACAATCTATGATCTATGAAAAAGGTATGAACAACACTTTAAGAAGTTGTTTCCCACTTAGGATACTATACATACATGGTATGTTTTTTTAAAGTTTCCAAAATAGAACTTTTCCAAACTGATAAACCTTCCTTTCAATTCTATCAAGTGGGAACCAGTACCACACTTCTTCTACCAGTTCAGGAACCTTAACTTCAAAGAAAGCTTTCTATCCTTTGGGAACCGGTTCCAAAGTTGGCTACCAGTTCCACATGTTGATACAGTTTAGGTAATAGTTTCATGTTCTGTCTAAACTTCCTATTTGATATAGAATTCTTTCTAAAAGTCCTATGCACAAAAATTACCTTTTTCCTATGCATATCTAGGTATTTGAAATTCTATATAAACCTTGATTTATATCTAGGTTAGTATGGCTTTTGCATTACATTTTCTGATTTATTAAAAGTCTATTTGAGAGATATTTTGCAAAAAATCAAATCTGATTTTTCTATCTTTATTTCTAGAACATACACGTAAACACAAGAGTGAGTTTAGAGTGTTTGCTCAATTCTTGATCGCGTTCAAAATTTATTTAATATTGCATCTACAACGATCAGAGAAGCAGATCTTTTTCTTCTACATCAAATTCAGATCTTGAAAAACAAGGGTGAAGCGATCACACTTTGAAAGGGTCAAAGCATTCGAGAAGTGTTGTTTGGTCTACCAGTAATCGCTCTGCAGAGATCAAGAGTAAGCCTAAAGTTAAGTGTTGTTGAACGGGACATCACAAAGTCAGAGGATTGTCAACAATTAGTGTTTGGTAGAATGATAAGGTGTGAACCTAAAGCAAAGTCCATTGTACTTTGTTTCAAACATAGTGGATCTGTTTACTTTGGACTGCACAATCCACGAAGTTTTTCCCACAACAATTGATCTATTCTACCAATTGAGATTTCCTGACTAAAAATCCTGGTATCATCTCTCAAACTCTATTTGTTTTACTTTACTTTTATTTTACATATGATTAATTGATTAATTACTAAATTAAGTAAAGCTGATTAAAATGGAAAGACACAGATTTTATCGTTTCCTTAGAAACTTAAATTTTTAATAAATATCTTCCGCTGCATAAACTCACAAAATTAAGTGGCACTAGTCCCATAGTTTTGACACTCCTTAAGGTGGTTTCCCTCAAAGATCTCCAAAGCTTTCCTTCTTGCCCTGTACACTTTGTGAATGTATACATCAATAATAATCACTCTTAAATTTGTTTGAAAGGATTGTGGAAAAGGTAAGGGACTAAATCTTGTATATGTGGTCCCTCACAGATTCAATTGGAAAGCAAACATTGTAGTCAATTTAAACCCTAATTAAAAAATTATTGGGTTTCAGGTTGCTGCTGTATTTGCACCAAATAGATCAAGAAAAAATTAATTTATTATAACACCAAAACAGATCAAGAAGAAATCAAAAGGCAAATTATAATTTTTGTAATTGGCTAATTTCGATGTCAAAACAAGTTCAACCGAGTTGTAATTTTCAAGTTACTAAATTAAGATCCAGATCTACTACGGAATTGGAAAGTTGGTAAAGTTTGATAAACTATGATCTACGAAAAGGTATGAACAATACTTTACGAAGTTGTTTCACACTTAGGACACTATACATATGTGGTATGTTTCTTCAAAGTTTCCAAAATAGAAGTTTTCCAAACTGATAAACCTTTCAATTCTGTGAAGTAGGAACCGGTACCACACTTCTTCTACCGGTTCAAGAACCTTAACTTCAAAGAAAGCTTTCTGTCCTTTGGGAACCGGTTCCAAAGTTGGCTACCGGTTCCACGTGCTGATACAGTTTAGGTAATAGTTTCCTATTCTATCTAAACTTCCTATTTGATATAGAATTCTTTCTAAAAGTCCTATGCATGAAAATTACCTTTTTCCTATGCATATCTAGGTATTTGAAATTCTATATATACCTTGATTTACAACTAGGTTAGTACGGCTTTTGCATTACATCTTCTAATTTATTAGAATCCTTTTTGAGAGATATTTTGCAAAAAATCAAATCTGATTTTTTTGTCTTTATTTCTAAAACTTACACATAAACACAAGAGTAAGTTTAGAGTGTTTGTTCAATTCCTGATCGTGTTCAAAGTTTATTAACTATTGCATCTACAACGATCAGAGAAGCAGATCTTGAAGAACAAGGGTGAAGCGATCACACTTTGAAATCGTCAAAGCATTCGAGGAATGTTGTTTGATTTACCAGCAATCCTTCTACAGAGATCAAGAGTAAGCCTGAAGTCAAGTGTTATTGGACGGGACGTCGCAATGTTAGAGGATTGTCAGCAATTGGTGTTTGGTAGAACGATAGGGTGTGAGCCTGAGGCAAAGTCCATTGTACTTTGTTTCAAATATAGTGGATCTGTTTACTTTGGACTGCACAGTCCATGAAGTTGTTCTCACGACAATTGATCTATTTTACCAATTGAGATTTCCTGGCTAAAAATTCTGATATCATCTCTCAAACTCTATTTGTTTTAATTGATTAATTACTAAATTAAGTAAAATTAATTAAAATAAAATAACACAAATTTTAATCATTTTCTTAAAAACTTAAACTTTTCATAAATATCTTCCATTGCTTAAACTCACAAAACTTATGTGGCAATAGTCCCGTAGTTTTGGTACTCCCAAAGGTGGTTTCCCTCAATGATCTCCAAAGCTTTCCTTCTTGCCCTGTACACTCTGTGAATGGTATACATCAATAATAATCACTCTGAAATTTGTTTGAAAGGATTGTGGAAAAGGTAAGGGACCAAATCTTGTACATGTGGTCCCTCACAGATTCAATTGGAAAGCAAACATGTGTAGTCAATTTAAACCCTAATTAAACAATTATTGGGTCACAGGTTGCTGCTGTATTTGCTAAACCCCAAAACTTGTGCGAGTATAGAAGAACAGGGAAGAATAATTAAATACAAGGGACAAAAAAACATCAGCACATAATTAACTGAAAAAGTATCAGTTTCAGGGTTTTTGTATCACATATATTTCACAAACAGATTAAAAATGATACCCTATAACATTGGATTGGAATAATATCACATGAAATAGTATAGATTAACAAATAAAACATAGTTATTGACAATCACAAAAAAGTAAATAAATAAAGCAGAACATCATCTTATCCCATTTAAAACCAAAAAATTCAAATGAATTTGAAGAATAAAACAATAAAATCATAGGGACAATATTAAACGGTTGGGTAAGTCTCTTTTGATCAACATACCTCCAAAAATGAAGATGATGAAGCCATCACAAAGAAGCTCGTGAGAACTCATTTTGAGGGGAGAGAGAGAGATCCTTTGACTGGGAGAGATTTTGAGGGAAAGAAATCGTGAGTTGTGAAGGAGGGAAATCACAGTGGCTGGAAACAATTAAAACATGTTGTGGATTTCATATCACTCTCCCATTTGGACATTCATTCAAACATGTTGTGGATTTCATATCCTTCCCTCTTGCTGGAATGAACTGGTTGCTTGGGCATCGCAGCATTGGAAAAAGAATGCATCGGATTGCAGAAATTCCATCTCTAGACTGGCCTTTGCGGCACTTGTATACAACATTTGGACCAAACGCAACAGGAGAATCTTCCATGGAAACAGAATTTCTTCAAACTCACTCCTCTCCAAAGTCATTGACTCAGTTCGATTAAAGTTGATGGCTGATCCTCCCATGGATTCTCCAGCCAATAGACGCATCTCGAACGAATGGGACATTCCTTGGTCTATCTTGCGTCCTCCTCCAAGGCCGCCCGATTAGGTACTGTGATTGGTGGAAATTCCACCTGCTGCTAACCGCTGCTCACCGGAACTGTGACTGAAGACTTGGTCATGTTTGTAACTCTATTTTGGCATCTTTGGGGCTGGCCCTCATGTAGTTGTTTCTCTTAGCCTTCCTCGGGCTATTCTGTACCTTTTTCTAATTCTATGGAATTAACCTTTACTTTCCAAAAAAAAAAAAAAAGTAAAGCACATGCAAGGTTCATCCATAACACAAAAGCAAATGCTAGAATTCATATATATAGTGTCTCAATGGACAAAAGTAAAAGAAGACGAGTAGAAGATGATGCAAAGGGAAGTTCAGAAGGTACTTACCTTGTTAGATGACCTTTGGAGTATATTCTCCAAAAAATTTCTTGTACACAGAAACTTTAGAGCTCCAGAAGAGGGTCTTTCCAAACTCAAAAAACTCGGAAATTTGACATGGAAATAGCCCTAAATATATGACTTCTCTGAGGTCAAATTTCAGCTTGATCCGATTTTTTGGAGGGAGATACGGCCATTTTAGTAGCTGCTGGATCTGCTTGTTCACCAAACAGAAACATAAACTTTGGAGCTCCGGCATAAGACCTTAATGGTCTCAGGAATTACGAAATTTTGCAGAGATATAGTATGCATTTGGAGGAGCTTCCTGATGCAAAAAGTCCTTTCACTATAAAGGACTAACAAGAAGGAATTTGGGAATAAAAAAGCATTCGGTTAACCTCACTTTTGAGAAGTTCTTTGGTTAAAGTCCAAAATGGGATAACAGTGAATCGATCTCTGTGATTCAGTTACCAAAAAAATAAAACTTGTTTCATACTAGTTTGTCCAACCAAAGTAAAGATTCTGAGTAATTACTGAAAAGAAGTAAAGATTCTGAGTACAACCCCGACCTTGAATATTATACACATCATCTTTATATGCAGTACATATACATAGTGGCTACCATTATTCAAATATTATTTGATCAAAGTTATGGTATTCACAAAAATCAGAATAAATTGTGACACCCAAACCATTCACTCATTTAGCTAGAACACTTGAACCAATCTTCAGCATTCTGAGTTTCTCCTAAAAGAAAAAACTATCAATTCATGCCTCCCCAATTCTCTACATGCATGCTTGCCTTCGCTGCCTGCAAATTTTATTGAATATTGGTCGAATTGAACCACTTTGAGCAGGGAAAAATTAAAAATTAAAAATTAAAAATTAAAAAATCCCAAAAAATTACCAAGGTTTTTAATTATTACCTCTTTTTCCCAATCACATCTAATTGTCATGATGACCAATATCAGAGTTTGAATTGCAGTGCCACCAAAAATCATCCCAGCCCATATACCCTGATGATGATAATTAATATGATATCCAAGTTTAGAAAATAAATAAGAATTAAAATTGCTGAATATATAGATTGTTAGGAGAAATGTAATAAATAGTGCTTTTTAAAATAATTATAAAAAAAAAAAAAGTTGAAATATTTTTAGTTCCCTTCTTTTGGAAAACAAGGTGTCTCTTTGTAACTAATTAAGAAATAAAAATGAAAATGATATTTGCATTAATAGTTGTACTTCTACACTACACTTCATCTTTAAAAATAAAAATATAAAAAAGGGAAACAGAAAAAAAGAAGAAGGTATAATTGTCCTTCAAAAACATTCTTGGACTCCATAATTATTTCATATTAAGTACGAACAATACTTTTTCACTTCATTTTTTAAGGATTATTATATCATTTTTTATTAAAAAATTCAAATAGAGTGCATGGCATGCATGCAGGCTCATGCATTCTATATCTCTACGTATTACACCCTAATTAATATATATATATATATATATATTAATTAGGGTGTAATACGTATATATATATATATATATATTGGAGATGCATAGGATTGAACCAAACTTATCCATTACAAATTCAACATTTTAAGTTTACCTATTCTCAAACTATTAAATCATGTAAATGTTCCAATATTCCAGCATTTGTAATTCCTTTTTTTGATGTAGAAGTTATGAAATTTTAAGATGTGATAATTGATTGACATGAATACATAATAATAATATATATATACAGATAAATACATACATAATACATGCATTAAGTTGATCATACATACCATAACACCTTGGTGGAAAACCCATCCCATTACAAATCCAAGTGGGACTCCAATCACATAGTAGCAACCAATGTTAACGTAAGCCACATATGATTGCCATCCCGATCCAACCGCTACCCCTGTTAATATAAATATGGCAACAATTTCAGTTATGTTGTTAGCCTGTCTAAGGTGTTGTTGGATCAAACTAAAAATTAAGCACAGAAAATCTAAATAATTGGAGTTTTAGTGTTAAACGTTCAAGTGGTAATTGTAAATTGAGAACCTTTTTTGATATGTTTTTTGGAGTTTGAAGTGTCTAACATTCAGTGATATCACTGAAGTCATTGTCACTTAAAAATATTTAACTCATTTTAAAATATATAGCTCATTTCAGGTGACATTCAAATTAAAATTCGTTATCAAATACCCTTCATTAGATAATTACTTAATCCTTTCAGAATTAAGTGTTGAATTGAGTTATCGAACATCACTTAAATATTATAAAACAGCAAAATGTGTGTATATGTATTATATATATAGGAGTAAATATTAATAATTACCAGATAGAACTGGTTGGACGCTGTTGAGGAGAATAGTAAAAGCTAAGAGGAGTGACAATTTGTGTACTGCTTCTAGAACAGGTTTACTGGAGGAGAACAGCAAGGCAATTTCATTGTGGAATATCATAATCAATAGCCAGAAGAAGAGACCGATCACCATAGATGTCACCACTGAAACTGTTGTAGCAAACTTGGCAGCTTTTCCATTTCCTGCTCCGAGCTCGTTTGCAACCCTAACTCTATTTCAATATATATATATATATATATATATATATATATATATATATCATCAGTGCACATATTTATTTGCGCTGAAAAAAAAAATATCAATACACCAACATTTGTAAATAGAATGAACAAACTTCAGTCGATAGACTCTTCTTTTCAGTTGTAAGGAGACTAAAGCAAGCATAATGGTTGGAAAATTATATTATGTGGACACAAGCAAAGAGAGAAAGAAAGAATGCAGATTTCGAAATGCATATTAATGCAGGCAATTTTTCTTAATGGACCATTCTGCTGGGCCGAGTCGGTCCAAGCCGACAAAACCCAGCAGTTTGGTGGGTTCCACATTTTTTGTGAAGCCCACTAAGATGGTGTACCTTTTTAGCACAAGAAGTATTTACCTTCCCAAATTCATTACGATCAATTTCAGATTGCTTAAATCCTTCAAATGCATTCAACCCCTTAGATGATAAGATTCACTAAAGGGTGCATATAAAAAAAATTAGAAAAAGGTGAGATCGGCTTGGAACTTTTTTGCCTTTTGGTCATCCAATCATGCTTATTATTTTGGAAAACTTACAATCAAGACTTACTTTTCTCATCAAAAGACAAATAAGTCCATTTAAAATCCAAATCACAGAATCTTCCATTTATCACCCTTACTAAATAGAATTGAAATTTTATAATTCATACATAATCTAATTTTTAATGTAAATTTCTTTAAGGTTTAGTTAATTATTAAATAGTACATTATAAGTTCAAATAATAATTAATTTAATTTAAACCAGAGGTGGGCTTACTACTTAGATACTTTCAGTGTTTATTCACTTCGCACTTGGTTACCCAGCGTTTACAATGGGTGCGATAACTGGTACAGCGCGACCTTCTCCGTCCTCTCGTATCAAGAAAAGATCGTTTCAATATCCTAATCTCATTCTATGAATGCAGCGAGTCCCACAAGAAAACACACACAAAAACCTGAATCATTTGTAAATATTATATTGATGATGAGAGAGATGATTAGTGGGTCCTAGAAAAGTTGTAAGAATATTTGCAATCGCAATTTTCTATTCACATTCTCAACTACGTAGGTTTCACAGGTACGGCTAGATGTGATGATTAACCTAATATATTATATATTGGAATATATTTGTATAGCTAACGGACAAAAAAGAAGGAATATTTGCAATCGCAATGTCTGTTCACATTAACGAAGTAAGTTTCACAGTTACAGCTAAATCAGACGAGAAATGTATATATATATATAGGAATTGAAGTTTTTATAGCAAATGGACAAAAAGGATAGAAGAAAGGTTGTACCTTGCTACTCTCCTTTTTTATTTCAGTTTTCGACCTTATTTGTTGTATTTATTTTAGGATAGAAGAAAGGTTGTACCTTGCTACTTTCCTTTTTTATTTCAGTTTTCGTCCTTATTTGTTGTATTTATTTTAACATAAAATCGCTATCCCAATTATTTAACAAAAAAACAAAATAGCAATCCCAGGTGTACGTGGAATTCTCAATCGGCCAATGCTAATAATAACAATAATAATAATAAACTGCTTCTTTAACAAATAAAAGTCCTGCTGGAATCTAATGGGTCCAATTTCATAAGACAACTACTAATCTATGGAAATAAATATACAATCTAATAAGATGTATCTCATTCATTAAATGAGTTTGAATAGCTCTAACATTTCAAAACATTCATAAAAAGTAATACTAATATATTGTGATATACATAGAGTAGGAAAACTCTACCCACCACAACAGATGGGGTCCTTTGTGATGCTTTAATTGTTATAATGGTGAAATCACTAAAATAGGTTGTGAAACAATCCATCACCAATGGTTTGAGTTCAAGCAAACAGTGGCCACCAAAAAGAAATGGTACCTATCTCACAAGAATTCTTTTATTGACCCGACAAATAAAAACTTACAAATAAAAACTTACTACTACACTGAGTCTATTTGGCTACCTATATATTAAAGTCCTTAATAATATCATTTTTCATCTCATAATTCATTAAAAAACAGACTAGTTAAAAGAAGTGAAAGATGAATGATGTGTTACCCAGCTCCAGCAAAGAACCCAAAAGGAATCATCATCTCCCATCCATTAATGGTCATACTGCAACAAGAGACAAACAGTACGTGTACACAATTCAAGACAAGAGAACTAAAACAATAATAGAGTTTGTGAACAAAAAGAATACGGAACTACATATGAATAAATGAAAATCATGTCCCATGAATATATGTGAAACTAAGTCCACTATAGTAAATACTTTGCATGTAGGCATTCAACATTAAAATCATTATAATAGCAATAATGATGATAATAACAATGTAATACAAGGGTTGCTTACCATATAGATAAAGCATCCAGTGCAATTTTTGCATTGTTTAGGTTTCCAGTCATCAATATCAGTATTCTGTAATACCAATTCTCCAAACTGTTTCAATACACACACATATACATATATATAAGAAGCAAACAAATTAACATTGTACTTGTAATAAGATTTAGAAATAAATATAAATTTCAAACAGCTTTAATTGATCCTCAATGGTCTAACAAGATATATGTTGCCACTGTCTCACACGAGCAACTTAAATGATTTTTTAAAAAAGTACTGTTTCCAACTTAAATGATGCACGTGGCTTACAAACAATCCAATGGTTCAAAGTATACGGTTTTTATATATTTGTGTGTAGATACCATAGAGAAAAAGTAAAAGAAAGTTACCAAAGCATGACCCCAGAAGCAGCAGAGAGTTTCACAAACTCCCAAAGACCTGATAAGGCTTCAATGGAGAAACCAGTCCAAGTATGAGGACACCCACCACAAACAGTATAACCAAACAGCCCAAAAACCAAAATCCACCAAGAGAGACACAGAGTAAGAGCAGCCCCAACCACTCCAAGCTTAAGCCTATACACAAAAAACCAACTCACAGCCACATGCTCCACCAGAGCCACCAGAGAAACCCACGCAATCGCACCGGTCTTCAGCTGACTCTGCAAGAACCTCTGCAGAGGGAACTGAAAGGCAAAGCTAAAGTGAATCGGAATCATCCACAAGGCCACGGTAGAAGATAGATCAGCCACATCTGGAGGCTGACCCAATAGCTTCAAGATTGGAGAAGCAAATACATACATAGGCAAAAGCAACACACAACACCCAAATAGAACAATCCAAGAGCGTTGCATGTACACGCCCAACATGTAGTACTTTTTGGCCCCAAAAGCCTGTCCACATAGAGTTTCAAGAGCACTTGCCATTCCCAACTGATTTATATACAAACAAAACATAATTATATGCATAAGACAGAGAGAGAGCATTCGTTAGAGGATAGAGAATTGATGTGTTCAGAGAGAGAGTTGGGTACCAAGAGACCGAGGTTGAAACCAATAATGACATTAGTGGCAATGGACATAGCAGCAAGCTCAAGCTCACCAAGGTGGCCAGCAAAAGCTTGGGTGATGGCGAGCATGGAGAAGGTGGCGATGCGGCTGAAGATTGAAGGGCCAACAATGTGCCAAAGCTTCTTTGATTCAATCCAGACCCTCTGTGAAAGAGCTAATTGATCTTCGTATTTTGATGCCACAGCTGAGGATGTGTAGCCTAGCAAGGGTGTTTTCCGCTCCTCTACAGTGGCGTTAATTGCCATTTTTTATTTTGGGTGGTTCTCTTTCTCTCTTGGGAAGAGATAGAGGAAGAGAGGAGACAATGACTAAATTATAGTCAAGTACAATTTCCATTTGTATGTGACATACATACATGCAGATGGTCTATAAGTGGCTTATGCACTTCATATATTTTTTTTTATGGGTATTAAGGTCATTTTAGTTGAGTAAGGTTAAATTTGTGTTGGATCTAGATTTGAAAAGTTGCTTTCATCAGCAATTTTCGTTGTAAACGATCTGTATTCTCTTACCAATACAAAAACCACAAGATGGACAAATAAGTAATCCACTGGCCTGTATATGTAGTATCATTCATATAAAGCTGCACTTTTTATTATGCTTATCTCAAAAATCTACTGCCCTTAGCATTCATCAAAGCAAAGGAACCCATAATGAGCTTCCATCATAACTTTAAAGTTGAACATACAAAATTTAAAAGCATCCATTCATCATCAAGTAACATTGTCTACCAGTTTAAAGCATTTTAAAAATCTTAAGATGAATGATACAACCATAAGTCTTCAATGTATCCCTGTGATGTATGGATGAACAAACTCTTTAGACACTACTTCTTTAGATTATCCAAACAACAGCAATCATCGGTCTGAAATTTGTTTGAAATGATGCCTTATAATTAGTATTGAATCAACATAATCATGTTCTAACTGATAAGTCTTTATCTGAAAGTAATCAATCCCAAATAGAATTTTTGGACACATGAATTCTCTAACCACAGCCCGACTTACATATGCAAGTGCACTGTCCTCTTTTCTATAACAAATGTTAACTCAAATCCATTAATCAATACTTCATTTCGCTAAGCCAATCTAAAATCTGCAACTAAAGCAAATTTCATCCCAAATACAAGTACTTTCTTCACTATGTCCCTTGAAGGAATAAAAATCTTGAAATTTACTCATTCTCATTTCCTCCTAATCGGATGAGCCATTTAAACTAACGAGTTCATCACTAGGTGCAAACATCGATTCAACTTCGCTCAAATCAAAATAGCTCCTCGTTTTCAGCAACCACTGTTCGCTAAAACCCAAAAGCTGCAAATTGCCCTTCATCTTCACCGTGTACTTTCTGCTCACAAGGTTCAAAGTTGCTCATCACCATGGAAGGCCTGATTTTCTCTAACATTATCTTAACTTAGGTGTAACTAAATATAGTATAATTTCACGTAACTAAATATAGTATAATTGTTGAAATATTATTGTGGGCTTCAAACATTCTCAACACATCTATAATTGTGTATCATATGTGGGTTGATTTGACAACTGACCTAGTTTTTCCATCTCCAACAATAAATGTCAATTATATGACTCAAACAAAAAAGAAATAATTTTTAAACATATGGATACAAACAAAAAGAAATAGTTTTCAAACATGTGAGTCCGAACAAAAGATAGGGGACCAAATCTTGGACATGTGCAAACAATAATTTGAGTGTGGTCCCTTCCAGATTCAATTGTGGAAAGTGTACATAACAGAACTTCTACTACTTAATTTATCAAATTAAACCCTAATTAGTCACTCACTCTCATAACCCTAAAAATAAGCACAAATTTTTCTCTGCACTTGGAAAAATTAAGCACACTAATTGTGTCACATGTCGCAACTGTATTTGTACATTTTCAGAAACTTATCTCTGCAGCAAACGCACCAAGAAGAAAGATTCGTATTAATTTGGTATAAAACCTAAAAATAAAAGCAAAACAAAACTTCACATAGGAACAAGCAAGCATAATTATTTATAAGGGACAAAAAAACTTCAGAACTGAAAAAGTGTCATTTTCAAGGTTTTTGTATCACATATATTTCACAAACAGATAAAAAATGAAACCCTATAACATTGAATTATAAAATTTTCACATGATATTTTATAGACTAAAAAATAACGTAGTTATTAACAACCACAAAAAAAATAATAACAATAATAATAATAAAAAAGCAGAACATCATTTTATCCCATTTAAGACTAAAAAATTCAAATGAATTTGAAGAATAAAACAATAAAATCATAGTGAGAATATTAAACGGTTGGGTAAATCTCTTTTGAATTAGAAAATTCAACATACCTCCAAAAATGAAGATGCAAGAAGCTCCTGAGAATTCATTTTTAGGAGAGCGTTAATCTTGAGTTGTGAAGGAGGGTCTTTGGGACTAGTGGTTGTTGGGATTTATATACCCTGTCATAGCGAATTCCTATTTGAATTAAAATGGCATATGTTCCTAACGTATCTGAAATATTTATATTTTATACAATTGGTGAATTCAATGTATTATGTTTCGATTCATTATGGAATTGATAATGTCCATTTGATTACAAGAGATATTTATATATATGTATGTGATGGCGATCAATACAAGAGATATTATAAATTGTTCGTAGTCAGTAATTATGGATGGAATCATAATTAATTAAGACTTGAACTGGATCTGCGTTAGGTTGAGATATATTGCGAGAGCCGTCGTATGCAATTACTCCCTATCACTGTCATGGCATTTGACTCTTAAGTATGAGAGAAGTATAGACTCTTTTATTAATTAATAATTATTTTGATTTGTTCGGCAGATACTTCGGGATCCTTAGACCGACACTTTGGATAGTTATGTAATTAATAGTTAGAGGGTTATATTCTCAATATTCGCATCAATGCTACTTGTATTTATTTTGTATTGATTATGGTTGATCACAAATTAAATTCGAAGGCCTTCGTGTGTTTTTAGACAAAATAATTTATTATATATTTATTTATTTAAATTATTATTTTTGTCAAACAAATGTTTTATTGTGATCGAGCCAAAAATAATCAAAGGTACCAAAATAAATATATTAATTAAGTAGTCGGATTGATGGCTTTATTTATCCGATAACTAATTATGTATAGAGGGGTCAAAGTGCAACATTGACTTAGATGTTATTTATTATTTAATTGGATTTCAATTAATTTCTTTTAGTGGAGTAGAAATTAATTAATGAATTAATTTATTAATTCATTGTAACCAAGAAAATAATAAGCCCAATAGGATTCTCACTCATAGCCTAACTTGATATTGGAACCCTATTAGATTTGAGATATGTGAATTAGAGATGGAGAATGATTTATGATTTCCTTTTTTGATTTTTATGTTGCCTATATATACATGGTATATATACATGGGTTCATGTATATTGTAGGGGGACTTTTTGGAAAAGAAAAAGGAATATATTTTTTCTCTCTCTAGATTTTAGGGTTTGCTTTCTCATCTAATGGAGGCTCTCACAAGCCTAATTTTCCAAAGTCATTCATGGAGGCTTATGAGTGATTCCTAAAGGCTAGACCATTACGAAGAAGATGGAGATCCAAGGAGAAGGCATCTAGCAAACGGGATCTACAATAAGTGAGAACATTCACTTTAGAGGAGAGATCTAACGTTTACTCAAACCTTGATGTAAGTACTCAATTTATTAATTGAATGATACGTCATATTTTATTTTTGCATAAAACTTGTCTCTATGTGATGAATCAAGATCTATGTATGAAAATCCCTCAGAAAGTTTTTAAAACTTGCATGTTTCCCAACAGTGGTATCAGAGCATGGTTTGATTCAGTACTAGAAATCATGTTTTTATCAAAATCATCATTCATGGATCCAAATTATATATGCATATATATATTTATTGATGTATGATGATGTATGTATAATTGTGAATGAATGTTGATGTATGGTTGAGTTATAGATGAAACTTATAGGTTATTGAATGTAATTTTATCTTTGGATGAATGTAATTAAAGTTTTGATTTAGCGGTTTAAAAATTCAATAATGTAATTTAATTTTTTCCATTGTATTTCAAATTGTAAATTTATTTAAAACTATGTAATCTTCATCAAATGATATTATGAAGCTTAAAAAAGATCCAAAAGGGTTAAATTAGGCTTCAGGAATTTTTTGAAATTTTTCAGAATTTTTTTGGAAATTTTTGGGCTTAATTTATAATTTTTGGAATTTTTTAAATTATTTTCTGCAATTTTGGCAGTTTTTCGGCGACCGGAGGGTCGCCAGCAGCGAGAGCAACGGCGGAATGAGGGAGGCTGATCTGGTGCAACGCAGTACACATACGCCTGCACCGGTAGCCATTGGATTGTGATCATGCAGCGATAGGGATCCGGTGTAGCAGCGCTATGGTGCGCCCAAGGCGCACACCATCTATAGAGTGCGTGAGGCTCACGCGCACTAAAAAGAGGCGCCAACTGGTGCGTGGAACGCGCTGGCAACCACAACACGCGTGTGCCGGCGCATAGCACGCACTGCAACATCTCTCCAGCGCGTGCGGGCACGTAGGAGCGCATGACACGTGCTGGGAACCTTCCAAGGAGCGTGGCAGCACGTGCATGACCTTTCGGACGCGTCCTAAGTGTCGTTTTACTTCTCCAGGCATGTACAAGCCTCTACAAGTGTTCACAAGCCTTTGATTGACCCTCGCGCAATACTTAGAGCAATTAAATGTTAAAAGCTAAATCCATTGGCCATTTAATTTGTTTTATCTGTCATTTATTTGTGTATGTGATGCATGAAATAATTAATTGTAAATTATTATTATTCATGCATTGGATCCATGATTTTTATCTAAATGACTTGATTTACATTAATTGAATTATGAAAATTAATTGGATTTGATTACTAATTAATTATAGGACACTTATTGAGAAACAAAAAATTATTTTTGAAAATTATTTTTAAAGTGTGTCTCAAATTAAATATTAGTGAATCATTTAAAATTCTAATTATTTGGATTAAAATTAAGGCGTTTTGCATGCATTATATCATGGAAATTAATAAATGCAAAACCCTAATTATGAATGATTTAAAAATTGAGTGGGAGGGGGGATTTTTATACATTACCCCATGGCCTTTGTTATTATAACCATTGTAATTAGATCTTCAAAAATAAGGCCTCACGCATGATTTGAAGAGTCTTAATGTTACAAGAACGGTTTTCTCATGAAAATAAAAATATTAAATGTTCCTTGTAATTAGATTTTTAAAAATAATGTCCTACGCATGATTTAAAGAGTCTAGATTATAATGACAAGATATTTAAT